AGCGAGCGCTCTACCATCTGAGCTACGCCCCCCGTGTGATCTGGATCGTTAACGGGATCACTTTGAATCGTGATCGTGATCTATTTCCCAGGAAAAAGTTGCATATATAATTTTGCAAAATTTCTCAGAATTTATCTCATCGTTTGTGCGAAACAAACGAGCTATACGTTCTTGTGATATATTTGATCTTCATTGATTAGCTTTGAAAATTGTGAATAATCTACCTTTGAATAGAAGCTTAAAATTTTATCTTGAAAATTGAAAATTTCAGTACTTGTTCTTTGCACGCGCAAAAGAAACACATTGTTTTCATTCTCGGAGACACTCTCATCGATTTTATATAAAAATAATGGTTCCATCATTCTAGACACGGTCAACGATTTTTATCTGATGATTGTGTACTTGATTTTCGGGGTGAATAATTCCACATATTTGGGATCACGCTGGTATTCCTTTGTAATTCGGGAAAATTGGACGTGAATGGATGCAAACGTGAATGGACTCAAGCGTTTATTGAAACAAGTACCAAGCAGAGCTCCCGGAGAATGCAATACTGGAACTGTGTATTGATTTCAATGGACTTGCAAATGCATCAATATAGCAATCGCGAGTAATTGCACGTGCAACGCGAAAACTCAATGATAAAATGTGGCGAGCGTAGTTGATTCTTTTGCGGAGAGTATTGAGTGATGAAACAGATGCTGTGGAATTTTGATACGAATATCAATATGCAGTAGAATATATACAATGTATTTTCCGGGAAAAATGCGATATTAATGCATTGTAAAAATGTACAACAGTATTTCGTATAAATATGAATATCGATGCAATATTTGGTAAAATTTTCTTAGAGATAAAGAATTCCCAGAAAAGACGCGACATGAGACTTTATCAAAAATATATGCAAATAACTTCGACAGAAATACGTGGTGAAATTTTTGGCACAAGTAGAAAGATCGATGCCAATTTCCAATTTTCATGCGGCTGTCGTAATAATTTACTTAATCCCATTAATGATGAAGGACATAGCTCTAATATTAGATGATCTGATTAGAATTCATGCGAGAACTGCAGAAATCATAAGTTGATGTATCAAGATCATTTTCCCCGTATCACGCTATTATCTAATGATAATCGAAGAGATTGTAGTCCTCTTATTGTAGAGAGAGATCGGGTGTTAAAGCCGCCGCTTTATATGCGAGAAGCACCGTGATCGATACCCGACGTCTGAGATATCTTCTTTTGATAATTTTCCCTATCGTTAGTGATCGTAAGGGCTCTCTTGATCAGTTTGATTGCGAGCGTCGTAATTGAGATGATCAGTTGGAGTAATATGTCAGACGGTCGAGAAGATCATCCATTTAATGGAGAAAGGGCATAACGCCCATTGCGTTTGTCCTCCAACGATGCTGCTCAATTATCGATGATGGTAATAATCTTGATCACCCCGATGGCTAGATGGACGAAACGAGAGAGTTGTAATTCAAGTAGTTATATCGAGAGCTTTTGTGCTTGGCATGCAAACAGTACTGTAATCGATTTTCCGATACCCGCGCCTTTCTTTCGATACTTTTACAATTGTCAGTAATAACGACGTCGTGATGTGCTGAATGATCGTTAGCTTGTTATTCCCTTTTATTTTGTAAGCGTAGGATAATCAAAGTTAACGAACTAATATTTTTCCGTTAACGCAGCTACTTTTAATCTCTCAGCTGATTGATAAGATCTACTTTAATATTTGCCAATTTTGTGGGTATGTTCTCTTTTTTTAAATAAACTGTTTTAAAATATGATATTTTCTATATTATAAAAAAGGAAAAATAGTATTTTAGGATAATTATGGAATTTTATGCTGTGCCCACTTTTGCAACATGTATTTTGTTGAAATAGTTTTATTTGCCCGGGGATTCATAAAAGATACGCTTTTGCATTTCCGCGGTATTTCTCAATTAATTTATGTATTCACAGTATTACACGAGCGATGTGACACGTGGAGGAACGCGCAGAGAAGGCTGGGGCAGTGCAGAAGCGACAGAGATGGTGCTCAATAATCTCTTCTACATCACAGCGAAGTTCTCGGACGAGCATCCTAAAGAGACGGAAGAGCTTTGGGCGACTCTGTGTGGTTGTTGGCCGAACAATCTCAAAGTTATAATCCGCTATTTGATTATCGTCTCGGGAATGGCACCTCAGGAGTTGCTACCATACGTGAGTGAGATTTTTAGAATGGGTTTATTTGCGAACGACAAGGTGATAACAGTATTTAATCACTAGGCAAAGCGTGTGGTATTGTATCTGGCGCGGGCTCGTCCGGATCGTCTTGTCGACGAAATGATGACGGAATTGGAGACGGTTGAGACCCTGAATTGCTTGATCGAGCGAACGGAAACGCCGCCCTTCTATCGGCTTACCAGCATGAGAAAAGCCTCGTCGCATAGCGACGCGCCCGCCGCCGATCCTGCAAATCCTCCCCGTGATCTCGGCGTTGAAAAAGGCACCATTCATACGAAAAGGCACTCTGGCGAAGATCCCGTCAAAACCGGGTGAGAGATGTTTATTGAAATACATTACTTAAGTTGAGATTCCATGGTTTTATAGTGAAATCTCTTTATTTTTTTACGAAAGGAATGTTGAAGCATAACTAATTTCGTGAAATGATTACTTTATGGTATCGCAAAAAAAATTAATCTCAAAAGACACTCGAATTCTTCTTCCGCAGCTCGAAATCCGATACCGCTCTCCGAGCACTCGCGGGGTTTCAAACTCCAAGGGCAGAAAAGACGAGGACTGCGAGCGGTCCGCCAGTTCTTCCAGATGATCTATCAACTCCCACGACGGAAGCCGAGGTACGTTACTCTATTGGAACTTGATTTATTATCGTAAAAAGTTCATAAATTTATATGATTGAAAGGTTTTGCTGCTCTCAACGACAAGACGACGAATAAAAATACATGAAAGCTCGAGAGAGAGCATGTAATGTATCTTAACAGGACAGTTCAATACGAAAGTAATTAATTATTTTTTTTAGTTAACTACCGACGAGTCGTGTTACGTCGCTCGTAACGGGCCCGTTGGGGTGAACGGAAAGATGCCGTGCGTCGACGAGAAGTTCGATATTCCTCAACCGCATCCCTTGCCGATGCCGGAATACGGCGGGTACTTCGCTCCTCTGACTGAATATCTGCCCGATAGTTCTCAGCCGATAAGCGGATTTCACAGGTACGATTGCAAGCTACGGTATTCCATTAGCTTTGTCTCAATAACGCGCGTTAAACCCGATGTTGCTGTAATTCCTCAGATGTAACATCGCCGTGATGCTGCTCACCGACGTCGTTATCGACGGAATCCAGCTTGATTGGGCTATACACGTCCCCTTAATGCTGCATATAGTCTTTCTTGGTCTGGATCATTCAAGGCCGTTAGTGCGAGACCACTGCCGTTGCTTGCTGCTGAACTTGCTGGTCGTGCTCGGCGATCATCGCGATCACCTGGGCGTGGCGCGCGTGCTGCTCGCCTCGAAGACGGAACAATTGGGATTGGGTTTGTCCACCCCGACTCTCCCAGTGCTGGAACACAATTTCACGGAGATGGATCCGGAGTTCGACAGTTATCTGTACGGTCCTCCCGCAGTCCCACCGCCGACGACACCACCACCATCGTCGTCGCCACCTCCACCCTCTTCGCCGCCGCCTCCGCCACCTCCTCCTCCGCCGCCGCCGCCACCACCTATGCCCCCCGAGTCCTCAGCGTCTCAGCCGGCACCTCCACCACCCCCGCCGCCGCCTCCTCCCCCACCGTTACCGTCTTCCTCAGTTGCAGACGGTACGCCCACTCACTCATCTTTGTCGAATTCGACGTCAACCCCGCCGATGTCGATGAACCATTCGAATCAGACGGATGATAGTAAAGATTATGGAAATTCTCACTACGGTAAAATATCCGGATGTACTATACAAATTAATTTTTACTTTGTGCTTATAAAAAATGTTATAGAGATAAAAAACGATTTTGCAGAACCAGCGGTGTGCAATAGCTGGCCGGCCTCGAGCGGGACGGCAACGAACGCAGTACCGCCTGTTATTGTAACGCCGGAAGACACACATAATTGGACCGGTCCTCAGCCGGGTCCCAATATGCCGATACAAGATGTCATTAAGTCCCTGATCAATTTCTTAGCCTCCAGGTATATGCATATAAACTACATGTTCGGGAGAATAAAATTTCTAATTGAATATTATCTTCCATGACAGAACAAATCAACCACTGTGGAATTACGAGGATATGACTGCCAAAGTATGGTGGGTGCGTAGCGCCGAGCAACTCACAATATTATTGCGGCACGTATTACGTGTCTTTAGAGACTCCTTGCCCCACGCGTTAGTCAGCCAGAGATGGGCGCAAACGGCGCTGCAATTAGGCCTCTCCTGTTCGTCCAGACACTACGCAGGGAGATCGTTACAAGTTTTTCGAGCGTTGCGCGTTCCCATAACGTCTAGGATGCTGTCTGATATCTTATCTAGGCTGGTGGAGACAGTTGCCGAGCAAGGCGAAGACATGCAGGTACCGACAGTTTTCTTGTTGATATAATTGCTTTTATTTAAAACAATGCAGTAGATAATAATTATAAAAGGAATTTCAAGTTGATTGGCATCCCGTATTTTTTATATGATTATATTATTATTATTATTATTTTTATCAGGGATATGTAACGGAGTTGTTGCTAACGTTGGAAGCAGCTGTCGATTCGCTCGAGTCCGACTTTAGACCGCTGGATTTCATGAAAGAAATCTTTAAATCGACGCCTAATTTGAACAACAAGGATCCCGTATCGGGAATTGTAATCGGGGGGAAGCGCAGTCCAGGAGGCGGAAATGGATATCCAGCTGGGCCACACATGTTTTCTCATTTGAATCAAGGCGGACATACGAGAAGCACTAGCTACTCGGTTAGTTACTGTATGAAGAGGTCCAGCGGTGGAAATTCCGCGACTAACGATATAAAAGGTCACTATTATAATCAACACTTCTTGTAATACTCAATACAAGCTTTTTGTCTGTGTACAAATTAAATTTCAATTTTAATTCACCGATTTTTTAAATAAACATTTTTGTTCGCAGAACTGGAGAACAGAACTGGCGGTAACAAGTATCCTAACTCGAATCTGTCCAGATCAAGATCAGCGCAGTCCTTGAAATTACTGGGTGACTCCGCCACGCAGGATGATAAGATGACAATACTAGCGCAACTGTTCTGGCTATCTGTATCCTTGCTGGAATCGGATTACGAGCACGAGTTTCTTCTGGCACTGCGGCTACTCAGTCGCGTGCTGCACAGGCTACCGCTGGATCGACCAGACGCCCGGGACAAGGTTGAGAAATTGCAACAGCAATTGCGGTGGTCCTCGTTTCCTGGTGTCCATGCGCTACTATTGAAAGGATGCACCAGTCCGAATACATACGAACCAGTTGTTACGCTGCTGTCTCAATTTACGCCTCTGCTAGATCTGCCAGTGGTCGACCCCACGCAAAGCCTCGCATTTCCGATGAATGTTGTATCCTTGCTGCCTTATATGCTGTTGAATTATGAAGACGCCAACGAACTCTGCATCAGAAGCGCCGAAAACATTGCGCAAGTAAGGCGCTTTTCATATATTTACTTTTTTCTACGTCGACAAATAAAAAGCATTACATGCAATTGCCAATTTATGTTTTGCGCTTATTCATTGGCGTCTTTTTTCAAATTTCTCTTGCAGGTAAGCGCAGAAAAGGGGAAAAAATTGGAGAACCTTGGTACAGTCATGACATTGTACAGTCGGCGTACTTTCAGCAAGGAAAGCTTCCAGTGGACTAAATGCGTAGTGAAATATCTTTACGATTCTTACGCTCATCTTAGTTTCAACATGCTTGCTTTCCTCGTGGAAGTACTGGAGAAAGGTCCAAGCAATGTAGCGTTGCCGGTACTCAGTATTATACATTGCATGTTGCATTACGTGGATCTGGCGTCTCCAGCTGCGCAACCGATCAATACCGAACTGTTGAGAGTGATCTCTAAATATGTCGAGGTAAAGTATCCAAGTATTTAATTAATTTCATAATCAAACATTATAATTCGATGATCACAGGAGTATGTATGTGCAATTGACTATAATTTTGTTTATCTAATAAACAAGCTGTTTCAGGGCACTCAATGGAAAGAAGCGTTGAAAATTTTAAAGCTTGTAGTAACAAGATCGTCGACACTCGTTGCGCCGCCGACCTCGATGCACGGTTCATCCTGGGATTCTTCGCTATCATCACCGCATCCTAGCTTCACCGACACGGAGATATTTACCAAGAAAGAACTACCGGGTAAATTGACATCTCCGTGAATGAATTAATTAATGCGTATTTATTTTCCCTGGATGTATATTATCTTTTATGTTTTCTTTCTTTGCAACGCGGCATGCATGCATGGCACGGATTATTTATCGCACAACACAACAGGTTGCGATAAGAATAACAATAGTGATAGATAATCTTTTCCTAAAATAAAATTATTTTTCTAAGTTCAACATACTTTAAATTATATTATGTTATCTTAAATATGTACACACATTTATGCTCCCACGATTATTTGGATTTTAAGATATGTATCTGGATGCTTTTTCAGCTAAAATATTTTATAAAATGTAGTAAACATTGTGTTTTATTATTGTCATGTAGAAACATAGATACACACAATTTTAATTAATCATATATTTTAATATTTGTAATACTTTTGACTGTTTTATTTTTATGAATAGGAAGAACAATGGACTTCACGTTTGATCTGTCTCAAACACCAGTGATCGGTAGACGTTGGCTGATACGTCAAGGTACTGAAGAAAAATCGATTGGTTCTCCACGCTGTTCATTATCTCTATCGCCGGCAGATAGTAGCGCAATTGCCGGATGGAAGAGACCATGGATGTCGCAGGTATAGTTATTAAATTCAAACAAGAATTGAATTAAAATATAGATCTGATTAGAAATTGACAAAATTTATGTGTAGAAAGTTTAATGTAATGTCGTGTATAAATTATGCATTTATGATGTATAATCAATTTTTTTTCAATAGGGCCGAGTCAGGGAATGCTTGGTAAATCTTTTGACGACATGTGGACAAAGAGTCGGTTTACCGAAGAGCCCATCGGTACGTTTTTCAATTATTAATTCGAGTAGTGTAAACATATCCTTATCCTATGGTTTATCCTATGCGAATAATATAGTTACGTATATTTATATACAATTATACATTATTTTATTTTAAATTATATCTTAAAATATTTATATCTTGTAAATTTCTTTCTTAAGAGATAAATTTACATAAATATAGATATTTTAAAGCGTTATCTAAAATAAAATAATGTAATTGTGTAATATATACATATGTATGTATGTATGTATATATAATTAGTAAACATCTGGTCACATCGGAACCTGCTGTAGCATGCTTCACAGCGGAAGGCGGGCACGTTTTTCGAGCATTTTTAATTTATTACAACTTTAGAAAATAAAATCTAAACGACTAATGATCATCTGACATTTTTGGGGTCTGGAGTCACCGCCTGAAGTGTTGATATATAATTAAGAATTATCCTGTACATCTTACAAAAATCAACTGATTCATTATGTACCCCTTTTTAGGATGAGCACATTAGTTCAATGACATTGTATAGCAAGGTAAAGGGTTAATTATAAATGCAATCTGCACACCCGCTGTAATTCGCATTAACGCAAGTACTTGTAATTAATTGCAATGTTCTGTGAGTCGTATTTCCACGCTTCAGTCAGCTTTATAAAAGTATTTTCACTCGCACATTGTTGCAGGTGTAATAAAACGTTTGTACAACATGTTATAAAGCGGTAGTAGTATAATTTTACAGCACAGCTATCTGAAATCTATTATCTTTCTACGCTTTGTCGTCTATTGTATTATATATGAAATTATCTGTATAAATGTATAATAGGAAATATTTTTACGTATTCTTTCCGGTTGTAGGATACATAGATTCTGTAATTTTTTGATGTGAAACAATCATTGTTCTTTATTAATATATACATAGTTATATGCAGGCGACTCCATTACATTATTGCATTAATTTTTTGAAAACTTGATAATAGAGCATTACATTGTTATTTATCTTTCAGCATTTACAAATTTGACACGTTATTAGAGTTTGATTTATAATATTAAAGTTATTATTCTTTAATATTAATATAATTACAATTAATTTATTAGGTTCTGAAGGAAATTGCGATAGCTCCAGAGCACTCTGTATTATATAATTAGTAATTGTATAATACGTGTATGCACAATTGAATATTTTAAGCAAATTCACATAGTCAGTCGGAATTAAGACATATTGAAGGCAATTCCCAATCGAGAGATTTAATTAAGAAGCAGCGAAATATAAGTGAATTCCATAATATTGAGTACTATTTAGTATCATAATTTTTGTCTATCCAAAAAAATACGAGATGCCGTAGTTATTGACTTTATATTCATGAATTTGTCACTTATGTATATTTGCTTCTAATCCCTCACAAATTTCTTTGCGTTTACATATATATATTTTTTTTACATTATTAATCACGTTTTTTTTAAATTCAGGTCATATTCAGTCAAAGTTCGGACTTGATGGAAAGACAGTCATCTATGGCTTCTTCCACGGAAGAGGTTTCCGGGGCGAATAACGATTTGAGCGGAGGATCCAGACGAGACGACGAGCAGTTCGGTGTATTTAAGGACTTCGATTTCCTTGAATATGAGAGCGAAAGCGTCGAGGTAAGCCCACGATGTTTTGCCTTCTAAATAGAGAATGCTAATTCCATTTTTTTTCTGTTAAACTTTATAGGGTGAGAGTACGGACAACTTTAACTGGGGAGTTCGACGTCGTCCTCTTAGCGAGGGAGAGGAACGAGAACCCAGTTTGCGACAGTTCGAGGAAAGTTTAAGTGAGAAAACGCCGTCATCCAGCAAACACACAACGCGGGTAAATATGTGAAAAATGAAAAATTAGTTTTACCACACGTAATTTATATTTTTTGCCGTCTTTAAAAAACTTGTATTAATAAAATTTGAAATGTACGCAGCGCGGTGTCGCCGAAGAATCATCGGACGACGAGGCAGGATCAGAATCACCCCTGGACGAAGTACCAGGTGGATCCGGAACGGGGCAGGAGGCGAACAGCATCCCAGGAATGTTCCCGCCGTCTTCTCTCTCGTTGATACCTAGTCGCACGCGTCACGACTCATCCACAAGGTCTGACACATCGTAAGTTTCTGTATAAAAACCTCTGGAAACGCGTATATTAATCGTTTCATTTCGGATCTTTCGCCTATAGCGGTTCGAGTGCGGGAGATCTCGGAGATGTGACGCCCTGCAACGCGTCACCCAACCTATCCGCGTTGATGCCCTTCCGACAGGTCGTACGAGACGATGCCGAAGAGATCTGGAGGCAGCAAATTCAAAGTCTCATTACTCAAGCTCCGTACAATACTTTGAGCTTCTTCCAATTGCTGAGCAAGATCTTGAGGGTAAATATTGCTTTAAAAAATATATATAATTTATTTTATTAAAAAATCAATTCTGTTGAATTTTACAAAAGATCAATGGATTGTCACTTTTCCTAATGAAATTGTTGTGTAACATAGGATGTGAGCAGTAAATCTGTTGGTCTCACACGCGAGGCAAGTGCTTTGCTTTGTAATGGCAGCTCGGCTTCAGCTCACTTGGGTTGCCATTTATCTGCTCATGCTGAGCTACTTAGTTCGAAAGCCGAACCGCCTCTGGTGTGGTTCTCGGTAGCCATATTCGCGAATCAGCGGCTAAACGAGACGTTGCGTTTTGGAATGCTGGAGATACAGGAACATCTGGAAACATTTCTCGATAGGAAAGATCATGCTACGGAAGTAAGTTTTGTCGAGATACTCGACAACGACTGTTTGAGATAAGACGCTATAATATTTGTTTTCCTTTCAGTGCTTGGAGGCAGCTAAAGCAACCGTTAAGCTTCAGGCGTTAGGCGGGAGTCACACCACGGAAGCGGGCGTCGAGGAGATGCTGTTGGACCTAGGCAGAGCGCTGTACAAACTGCACTTCCAGCTACTTCTGTTGATCGAAGCGTCGAACAAAATGCTAGGGGCGCTAATGAACACCGCTAGAAACGTACAGATTCCTTTGCAAGATCTATCTATTGAGATCGCGAATATGAAGATAGCATTAAGCAGAGCGCTCGAAGAAAGCACCGAGAGCGAACGAGGGACACCGACTCCGACACCCAGTCCTAGTCCTCTTCCGGGTTCTGGAGCCGTGGAAGAAGTCGCCAGAATCGCCGAACTTTTAAGAAATGCACGATGGTGTCCAGCGCTCGAAGCCGTGAGACTGCACAGGGCACAATGGCCCGGAGACCCCTTTCACGATGACGACGACGTAACAACTGCCGTCAATATGTACTGCAAATACATAGGTCAAGAGAGATCGGGTGAGTTTAATAGATAATCAATAATACTTAAATACAGTTACACATCATCTCAATCTTTTTTATTGGCTGTACGATGTCACTATCGTTAATTCTTGGAATATTTGCGTGATTTACACTTTTAAACATAGCAATAGATGAAATATATATTGACATATATTTTGCATATCAATTTCAGACATATTCGTGGTAACAAGGAAGGATGAAGAGATGTCAGAAATATTTGGCAGACTGATGGAAAGTCTGTTCGAAGTACTGGCGGCTGTGACAGGATTGGAACCGTCAAAGACCGCGCGCAATCAGCATGACTCTAATCACTCGAAAAACGATTGTTAATATAAGCTTTAATCATATATAGTATTACGAATCGTTCTCGTATAAGTCGGCACATATATACATATTTAATTGTCGTACATACGTATGTAGATGTCTTGTATACGACGGTAGGTAAATGTATGTATATACATATATCACGAGAAAAAGTTCTTAGATCCGTCGTTCCGTTTTTTTTTTCTTTTTTATGCGAAGAACGCAACGAATCGTTATCGATTGTAAATTTGGCGAAATAAATCATCGAAATCTTTCGAGGATGACGTTTTGAAATTCGCACGCAATCTTTTGTAGGATTAATAAGCATGTTTATGCGAAAGAGGCGATCGGTGTATAATGCACGGCCTGCGGAAGAGCATCAGATTGAATCTTGTCAAGATGTGACGCGTTTCGTGAGAAGATTCGTCGATTCCGCAGTTACCGCCGCAATAAAAATTGTCGATGTCATGGTTCGTTAAGCTTCTTACCTGCCAATTACGGTGTATCTGAATAATTCTCATACATTTTCGTACATATTGAAACGGTATCTCATATGTACATACATGTAACGATTATCTATATTGCTTGCTCGTAAATAATTACTTGTATCGATCGCTCTTAACTGTTAGGATCATCAGTCCTCGCTCAACTACACCGAATGGCCTACGTGTGGAAATATCAATGCGCGAAACGGCCTGCGATGTGTGAAAGAGGAGATGCTCAGATGGAACCAATTATCGGTACAATTGAAAAAAAAAGATCGATCGCGCCAAGGGAAGGGAAATTGAAATACGTGTTTTATCGATCTACTTCAGGCTCTGAGAAGCTGGATGTTCCACGCAAAGTTTATCGGCCTTAACAGAGAGAGGACCACCGAGTTCTACATGTATCAAGTCCTGTGGAGCATACCGACACCGGCATATCCGGAGCCATATGTGACTGTCAGTGTGTTCTTCAGCATCGCGGCGAGTCGCGTGCAGCCGCCGCACTTTCCAGTCGACGTTAGTTTATGTATATTTTCAGCTCTTTCCCCTTGCTCTTTCTGTCTTCCTCTCTCTCTTTTCCTCTCTTTCCTGCGCGCACGTTGACTGCACATCGCTCGGCGTGAACGAGCAGATCTGGGTAGTATCGGGAATCACTTTTAGCATGCCTTATCATAGTTCGAATGACAATATAAATATTTAAAATATGAAAGTATACCGTACTATATATATATCATTACATTTACACGAACTTGGATTCGAAGTCTAGGATACTAGCCAGATTTTACATATAGATAGCCTCGCGTGTCAAATTAAAGATTTTAAATTAAACACGTTTCCGTAAACGCGAATAACTTTTTTGATAGGTCACGTATGTATTCGAGGGACAGCAGTTTGTGCATCGGTTGGACGTAGTCTTTAAACCGAAGTGGCTTTACGACATTCTCGACATGAAGACTATGCTGTTCAAAACCTTCGTGTTTTAAAATTATCTCTGAAAAAAAAGCTATATTTTCTCCCTCAAAATTGTAGAATCGTAAAACAATTTTTACTTATGATTAATTGAATTAAAAGTAATCAGAATTTACATGTGAATTTATACATGTGGCAATGAAAATGCGATAACATCTCAAACATATATCCGTGTGTATCGAAACGCAAGCACGATTTTGCCACATCGCACCGTGGAACGGCTGCAACTTTTCAAGGCAGATTTTTAAACGCCCGCACCGTGCAGAATGTCGTAAAAGTAAGAGTGTCGGATTTCCGCGAATCGGGCACGCGCCGGCCGCAATCTGGTCCAGCACCGGACGCCGTTTCATTTCGTTCGGTTAAACAATACGAGCAGGTGATGCCCCGGCTCCGTAAGAGAGTACGCACCGCGCGCTCTGCCATTCCCAATCGTACATTTACGACCTTTGCATTAAATCATTAACGCCAATTGTTACAGCATTGACAGCATTTCCTTGTCTACAGCTGTAGAAACGAAAGACTGAATGTAAAAATAGAAAATTTACTGAATCGATTTATTGGCAATATAATTTCTTAATAAAAATTTTAAAATAAATATATTTGTTTCCTGTGTGTTACATATATCATTTAGTCGCTTTAATTTATAAAATAAAACATAGAAATTCGAACTTATATAGAAAATTCCTTGAGAAAATATTGTATATTATACATATAAAAATACTCTTCCCTTCTTTATATATAGATTATAATATTTCCATTTATAGACAATTCCTTCACGATCTGTTAGCATCGAACCAAGATAGGTATCAATAAGTGGTTTGGTTTCATTTATCCTCTCCCACGAAGTTGATGCACGTAGCCCCGACCACAAAAAGAATCTACGATCCCGCGGAGGACACCGAGGAGGTGTGAGCCCCGCGTTGGTCCCTGGGCCCGATCCCGACATTTCTTTTACGCATTCTCAGCTTTGGATAATAAGACCGACGAACAGATAAAACAATTCGAAAACCAGAGATTCTCGCTTGCGCACATGCGGGCCGGACGACACCGGGAGGTCTCTCGGTGTCTCAGCAGGAGCCAGAAGAGACAGCAGACCACGTGTCGGGCACGTCGCAATCCGGACACGTGATTGCGCTTTTAACAATATTGATTTAATTTCTCTTCTTACGCATCTAGAGGAATTCCAGAGAAAAAATTCTGGTATTATACGTGTCTTTTGATATCCTGAAAGCTTTATTTGGTGTGGTGTATGATGTAAGACCGTGGGTATGTCATAGCTAGATTTAATTGTTTTTTTTTTTAATTTAGCGACTAATATATGTAATGATATGTGTAATGAAAGATCACGCTATAGCTGTTGGATTCGACTAAAGTTCAACGAATTCCTTGATTGACGCGATCATCCTCATTTCCTTCCGTCGAGGATCCATTCTCCAAAGACGCCGGGAAAAAGACCGATCGCTCGTCGTTTCACAAACAATCAATCCGAGTTATGTGGGTCAAAAGCGCGTGATATCAGTTTACGACCGCCGACCGCGGTGGCAACAACCACCGCCTATTTATACTGCGCCGGGGCTTTTTGTCAGTCGCGGGGTGGTTCTTGTCCTAAACATCACATCCGCCGAAATGGTGTGCCTCCTACGCTGACCGAGAAAAGGAGGATCGCGAGGGACCGCGAGAGGCAGCGGTAGCGGAGACGAAGCGCGAGGGAAGCCACGACAGGAACCACCGTCTCGCTTTCTTCGGCTTCAAACATCCGCTGCACCAGCCGCCACCAGATCTCCCGTTTACCCCCTGCCGCCTCGGTTCGCGCGCTCAAAGGAACGTTCGTGCACGCGTTCATTTCCCCCTTTTCACGTCGGAAGCGAAAGGATGCGTCTCGGATGCGTTTCTACCCGCGGTTCTCTCTCTCTGACGCTTTTCAAAGTCTCCGCTCCGTTTCCGGTTCTTCTCGCTGACGTGTTCTAACTCTGCGGCTGCACACAGTCAGGATCTTAATTAATATACATTAAAATAATAAAATTAAAAAATATAGAACTAATAAAAATGTATATAGATATTTATTATGTGTATACTTGTATGTATATTTACCATTTTAATTTATAGAAGAAGGAAACATTGAAATTCGGCACTTAATGCCTCAACGCAACTTCTTCACGACACGCAAGACTTTTTTGATCGATCGTGGCCGCGTGTCTCGAGGGGAGCGGGATCGCGAGATACATCTGGACCAGGACGATCGGACACGTCGGCCTTCTCCAAGACGAGAGAAGGGGGATGACCGGTGGACGCTGCGCGACACGCATTGTATACCGGACCCACGTGCACGCGCGAGGCAGCAGCTCGTCGAATTCACCAGCTGCCGATTCGCCGAGTCGACTCCTGGAAGCACGGGAGTCGATCTAAAATTAGCGGCTCCCGACATGGCACCCCCGCCTAGCCCTTACATGGCCACGTCACGGGCATACACTCGGCTACTTCGAAAGCGAGAGAGAGATATATAGAGTTGGAGAAAGAGAGGAGAGAAAAAGGGAAACAATAATAATCGCAGCCTGCCCGGCACGAGTTGATCACGCGCGAGATCTAGCAGCTGGGACTCGTCGACGTACGGCGCGATCGGACTTTGCTCCAGGAACGATCGGCGAAAGCTTACATTAGCGAAATTGAAAGAAAACTTTGCAAAGTGTAATGATAACAACGAAAAGGAAAGATTCTATTACTTTACAGAGAGAGATCTATAATTTCGTGCAAAAAATTTTTTTTAGCTCGCATCTGCATTTGATATCGCGATTAATTATAAAAAATTAAGACTATCCGGCACTGATTCTTTAATTCTTTAATTAACTTGAGTACGTAAAGCATACAAAATGCAAAACTGTATTATATATATATAGATGCATTTAATGTATCTAAAATAATTTTTTATTATATTTTATACACACGCTCATATATATATGATTTTGAACTATTCTCGTGATCTCTTCCAGTATAAAAAACTCGGCACGGAGTACTAGAATCCTTTTTTATCACTGCACGAGACAGGAAGTATACCGCACGGGTTAATAATGATGAACCACATGGCTCCCGAATGAATGAACGACGTAATGAAGAAAGTCATGCCATACTAAACGCGTTAATATGCTAAAAAGTTCTCAATGAAATACCGATTATCATCAAACATGAGATAATATACTTAATCTTAATTCATTAATTTCATGATTCATTTTCATTAATTTCATGATTGAAGAATCAATTCTTGAAAATATCGTTTTTGATATCCATTTAAAATGTTTGATTTGTTTTAAAACAGTTTAAATACTACCCTCACTATTTTACATTATCATGAATAAATTAATACTGAGCGTTTAGATAAACAAGTACTGGTATACAGAGATACAGTATAGTACTCCTATACTGTCTCTCTTTATACGTATGAATAATTTATTCGTAAACTATCTCATTTTTCTCTTTTCATTCACATATATTTATAATATTTCGATATAAATAAAATAAACCAAATGTATATGTATATACATGGAGATTGCAACAAACGCAATGTACTAGCTCAAATCCCTGCTTTAATCTGAACCAGTCGAGCAATATCCGGAGGGTTCAAAGAGAGCTATGAGTCTCTCGCGCGCGGTTCGATTAATCGCGTTTCGCGGATCTTCATTCTAGTTCATTGTACCGGGCACATCTCGGTAGGTCGCCTAACACCGAAACGAGAGATCCTTTGCGGACTCCTCGTAGGAGGAACGAACCCCGTTCCGCAGTACATCTGCGTCGAGCGGATGCAGACTGCATTTTATGACCGCCCAATGCACAACCGATTCTTATTCGTGCACCCGCACTCACACCCTCCATGGTTCTCCGCCGAGCACGCGGTACAACGACTTCTATAATTAGATTTCCTTCCTCCTTTTGGTCTTAGACACCTTCGCGGCCGCGAGTGATCTCTTGACCTGCGAAAAGGAAAATTGAAAGGGAGATTAGAAGAATAAATGAAATATTGAAATATTTCAGTTTTAAAATTAAAATTAATGTACACAATTCTATAACTAAATAGGATATGTTACATATTTCAATTAATTTCAATACTTAGTCCCTAAATTCAAAAGTTAATAAAGCCATCTTTTTATTAAAATTTTATATATTTTTTTATATTGATTATATCATAAATTAATTGACGATCCATAAGTTTGGACGCAATGTTACGGCAGCTTGAAAGAACCACGCGCTCTGCGTGTCATAGGTTTCACTTCGGTTATTTCGAACAGGTTGCGCTCGTATCTATTTTTCGATCATTGGCATCGGCCGGATCCACGGATTCTTGCACGACGACAGGTAGACACGGACATAATATAAACGGCGATAGTTAAATCGAGTCGCGATACATAAGCGCGACCACACCATGCCAAGCGCTTGCTATCATCGTCGTTGTCTGTAGATATCGTTTGTAATCGTTGGTGATCGGCCAAAACTTCGCCTCTAAACTCGTTGCACCCGTACAAAATTGCGATATTTCGATTCAGGATTGAAGTGCCAGCCTGCTGGCATATCTTCTACTTAATTAGATTTTTTTAAAATAACGTTCTATGATGTGCGATCGTTCTATTTGCTACTTCTATGAAGGGCTGGCCACACCTGCGCAAGATGTTTTCAATTACGATGTCAGAAGCATAAAATTAGGCGAATGTGCCGCTTGCAATTTTATATAAGAGTTGCATAAATAACTTACACAAAAATGTGTAACTAACTATATGTACGTATAACTACTTCCTTATCAAATTTGATAACATAGAAGCCAGTGGAAATTCTATTATAAATTCATAAATTATTTCCGGAATAAATGTATCTTTTCTACATCTTGGCTCATTCTTATTTTATCGTACAAATATACTTTTTTTTACAAGTAAATCCTACCCTCGTTTTATCGTTAGTTAATGTTGCCTAATCGTTTTGTTTTTTGGTAGATGCGATCTGATTTATGACAATCGTCAAGCAAACGCAATTGTCCGGAAACCGACAATCGTCACGAGAGCTATGCTTCCTGTCACGTTGTGCTTTCGTCAATAGGCGAGAGATAAATTGGTGGGGCGCGATTCCGAAATTAGTATTTCTAGATCGTAGTAAAGGAATATCCTTGTGCAACGTCGGTACTTTTTACAGAGGCTTGCCAAACGCCGGATTAACGTCAATTGGTTAATTTAAACGCGTTAATTCAATTACATCAAAATTATTGTATTTTACATAATTATCTAATTGACGATTAAAAGACTTAACGTTCAAAGAAACTCAATAATTCGTAGATCTAGAATGACCTTCAAAATTTGGATATTAAAAATTTAATATTTTCTTAGAGAACTTCAAAAATCGTAAATGTTGCTTCGCACGTTGGATTAAAACAAAACGATTAGCTGCTTGACGAGTATTTTATATACCTTCTTGAATCTCTCCATTAAAAAAAAAATCTATCGATTCTTATATGTTATGGCGCCTTGGCAGCTCGAATCCGTCCCTGATCCGCATGCAAATAGAAGCTAAACTTAGAGATGTCCGATTTCCCTCGTTACGACAGATCGCATTTTCGTCTTCATCGACCTTAATCATTCTTTTACTAGCTTCGATCGCTAAGTATGTCCCACGTGATGCGGTGTAGATACATCCCTATAATCATTCAAACGTCATTTAAATTTATTAAAAAACAATTCGTATTCTGCAAATGCGTGTAAGTCGAATATAAATGGTATGGGTCGAATTCTTAATTAATCAACATCAATTAATTTTGATTTAAATATAAAATAAGACAATTTTGATTAAATATCTGTGAAACTAGATTTACGCTGCTTCCAACATAAATAATTTGTGTAGACTTCATAATATGACATTGTCTAATTCGTAAATGGATTTCATGAGTACCGGAAAACACGAGGCAAAGTAGCAAAGTACAAATCCTATACCTTCGGTCCTCAAAGTATTAAGATAACACGGCTTAACGGGCACACCGACTCGCGGCTGGATTCTTCAATGGGCCACTAGAAAGAAGAGTTTCTGAATGGGCACGCACACGCATCCGAAACGCGCACGCACGTATACAGCGTGATATTCCCGTGGATCTTATAGCGGCGAGATATCAACGAACGAGATGCGCGTCCACCGGGTGTCTAATATTATACCGCTACACAAAGCACATCGTGACGCACGCGATGTTTATACGAATTATTTCAAACTCATTTGCGTCAAGGCATATCTCGAAATTATGTCTGAAACAAAGTAATTAAGAAATACAGAATTAATTTTCCATTCTTGCCATAACATTAGTACTCGTCAATTTTTGCACACTATTAACAATTCGTCAAATTATTCTTGTCGGTTGCACAATTGTGTGTGCTTCAGATATGCTAGTTTTGTTATTTGCATATGTCTTTTACTTAATCATGTTATTCATAACTACTATGCTCTTCTTTGTGGATAGCCATGGAAGACAGAAGCCAGACTAATAATTTCCACCTAAATAACAGTGATATAAGTATTTTTCTTGATAAGCCTGATAAATCACAGTGCTTGGAGTCGCGAGTTGTTTTACACAGCACGAAACATAGCGGAAGCTCGGGAAACGCCTCATCCGCCACAATAGACGATATATAGAGAATTTTACACGAAAATGATAACGTGTCTCAAAAGGACTGAGGAAAGAGCTTGAGGATGTGAAAAAAGAATGTGATAATTAAAAAAAAAAAATTGGAAGCGTATTGTAAAAACGAAAAGACTGAGATGAAATCTATATTAAAAATATCCCTCATGGAGAAGAATTACCCTCAAAAGCTCACCAAGGCAAACAAAATAATTAGGCAATTAGAAGATATCAAATTTCAATTAATACAATCAAATAGCAAGTATAAAGATTCCATTGAAGATCTTGAGATAAAAATGAATAAATTAAAGTGTGGACAAGAAAGTGGGGCAATGGAATATGAAGTATATACGACACTACTAAAGCGGCAGCTCAGTTCCTTTATCGTATAGGTACGCTTCATACTCCGCTGTCTCATTTTCTTGTTCACATTTTAATTTATTCATTTTCTTCAAAATCAAATAATCGCATCGGCAAACGCGCAGGGTCCAGACGGTAAGAAAAAGGGTCAGAAGAAGGCGAAGAAATCCAACAAATCTAAAGCGAATCAAAAGAAAAACAGATTGCAATTGCATATTCGTATTTTCTAAATTTTAATTTAAAAAAACATTGTATATACAAAGAATTTTTACACTCTAAGGTTTATAAAAAGATTTGATTAAATCGTCCTGGCAACACGAACTACCGATTATTGCTGCTACCGATGTTTTGAGATCCCATATGGGCGTAAAGCCCCGAGATGATCGCGTGCGTGGGTCGCATACGTCTTGTACACGCACGCGTGTTAAAGGGAAGGCGGTGGAAAAGGGAATTCGAGCCCGGAGATGAGACGACGGAGAGAGAGAGAGAGAGAGATGGAGAGAACGGGCGCGTGTCGGTCGCGTGCCTATTGCCACCGGTGACTCGGTTGTATATCTGCGACCCTCTCCGGGGTCCCTTTAACCGCCTCTCTCGCCGTTTTTCCAGCGATGCGGATCTGACAAGGAAATGTTCTCAGACAATAGCGTTTCCGCCGGCGATGAAGATCAACTGTCGACACATGTATCGAATAAAATCATGGGGAGATTTAATAGGTCGATGAGAGTCTTCTTCATCATCATGATAAATGACAGAGACGTTTGATGTAAGATAGAGAAGAAATTGAATTTAAGATACGCGAGGAGATAAATTCGACTGGTCGGCTCTTTTTAATCAAAATACAACTACTATGAAAATTTATGTTTTCTGATATATGTACGCGTACCAATAATTTGTTAAACTGATGACGATACTTGCTCAAATTTGTCACTGTATCGTTTGAGACCATGACCTTAGTCGTTCACCGTCTAGTTCACTTCCTTTTCCTGCCACCACGCTCCATAAAGACCGCCTGGGCAATAGTGATGAAAGAAAGAGAATAAAGACGCTGGTATGCGAATGCACAGCCTTGACAGCAGAAGCAGCTTCATCTTACTCTTCTAACTCTGGAAAATGATATTTTGCAGAATTAAAAAGTGTTTCCTATAAGATCTCTTTAGTGAATCGTCTCTTATTAGTTGCGCGAAAATCACGAGTTTCCGATATTACAAGCGAGAACTGACTATAGTCACTGAGTCAGATTTAGAGAGAATATGATCTAGATATCGTCAAGAAAAAGAGATCGCCAGCAATCTACGCATGATATAGTGGTGACTACAAAGCTAATTACTCCGAAATGTCGGGAATGTTGATGACTTCCGTTCACTTTTCATGAATCAGTGGCATACTTTACAGTGATATCAGTGACTAGTCACTGATTCAGATTTAGAGAGTTAATATTCAGATATCCGTACTACGTCATGCGATATTGCCTAACTTTAATATAAAGATTTATTGCATTTTGTTTCCTAAATTACTTGAATATTTCGATATCAAGATACCTGCAGCCTCTCTTTGAATTAAAAGGTATTCTATAATTAAAAGAACTTCTAGAACGAATCTTGTACGAATTAGATTCTTCTGATCGTCTATTAATTCACGCGATCCTGAGACAAAAGAGGCTGTAGAAAAGTGGAGTATTATTCATAAATTGTTTTTGCCAGGATTAATTGCGATCAAATCAGACTGCGGTACACTACGAGACGAGTCCCGTCTTCGCAGGTGGCAAGTAGGCATGCAAAACCGAAAGCGGAGGGCGCATGCATACGAGCACGTGCTCGCATTTTGCGAGAAGCAAATCTTTTCAGAAACGACGCGGCGGCGGCGGCGGCGGCGACGTTGGCTATCAGCTGGCGGTATTTCTCCCTTTTCTCTTCGATCTTCGCAAGACCGAGAGGGAGAGGCGAGTCAGAAAAAAAACGCCAAAGAGAACGAAAATGAGCGTCGCCACCCCTTCTCCGTTGCGCGCACCCGCATCCTGTGGCAGCTTTCGTAAAAACCGTCGGCCCTGTCGGTTTCCATTCAAAAGCGCGAGTCACGGGGGCTCATTTACGAGTTTCACGACGAAACCCTACACTGGCCGGAGAACGAGGCGTCTGCGATTTCGATCGAAGTGTCAGGAACAGAGCTTAGAGATGAATAGATAAATAGACATCCATAAAAAGGAAGGGTGCAATTGTGTCTTGAAAAGAGATCTCGCCTTTGAATTACGTCAAAGTATTGTAATCTATCTCTGAAAATCATACAAAATAAAGGGATTTTATTTAAACATATAAAAATAATAATATATAAATTTAAAATAATTAATTTGTCTTTTTTTAATATTATACTAAACTATGATACGGAAATAAGAATAATAATTATAAAAATAATAATGATTATGTTAATCATTTGATATAAAATAAATGATCACAACAAATAAAACAACGTAATATCAAGTGATAAAAGAACTCATTATACTTCCAACGTGGTATAAATATATTGCATGACAACCAGAGCGCGTAGAATTTTATTGAGCAATATCAAATGACCATTTGGACAGCTTCCCTTCGAAGGGGAGCACTCCAGCAATGCCGAGGCGAAGGCGAAGGGCAAGTAGCTGAATTCGTACCGATGGCGGTGTAAGAATAGCAACACGATCGAAGAGAGGGGGGATGAAACAGGCGGCTGATCGCTGTCTCCGGAAGGAACTGTCTCCCTTTATCCTCGAGGACATTCCTCCGAACACGAGCCAACGTGTCTTACGGTGCTCTCCCCTAAGGGGAGGCGCTTCCACGGATGTCTCCACCCAGCGTTAACCTCTTGCACCCAGAACTAAATTAAGAGTCGTTCCGGTCGACGTTTTTTGCCACCGGCACTCCTCGAACCTTTTTTCCCTCCAAACCCCGCACAATCCATCGAAAGTATCAACCCGTTATATTTCTTCGCCATGTCTAAATATTTCAGACCCATATTACCAAGATATTTGTCTATTGTCAGCTTTCACTAATATATACACTTAATTATAAAATTTTCATCCTTATTCTTTCAATTACCAATATAAATTGTTTAGGATTGCGGTACCCCTATAATTAAATCTTTATACATTTTCGTTCACAGAGTTGCCTGATTATATTAAGTATTAAGTTACTCACATTGTTTGCGTTTTCAATAAACATGTAAGTCTTTCTGCGTTCATCACATATGAAACTTGATTTAAGGCAAAATCGAATCATCTATCTGACTACCACGGCGCCTTGTCTTCACCTTTCACTCACGTGCATAAAAACAGCAACAATGCGGTGGAATATAATCGAGACGCGTGTGCAACGCCTATTCCCGCATAATATGATTCACGTACCCGTGAATAGAGAATAGTCATTAAGCCGCGCCGCCCGGTGTCATTGCACCCTAGAGATCCTAGAGGACGCATAGGGGAGGCGAAGGAAAGCGCAGACGGAAAAGTTGGAAGTACACGTAAACGGCTGAAAATCTGACGTCTTGGCGCCCGGCCAGATCTTCGCCTCGGCTTATCTTCGGCCTCGTCTTCATCCCTCATCCTCCGGTGGGCGCTCCTCCGCGGAAGACGGCCCACGGACTTTTATTCCGCTTTCCCGCCGCGCCGCCGCCGTGCCGACGCGACGCACCGTTTCGCGGAAGCGCGCGTCCTCATCATCGTATTGCTATTCTCGGAATCCGGACAGTTTAATAGGTTCATCCGATTGGCGAATTTCTAGGCGCACGAGTGTGTTTAGCTCTGAAAATTCTTTCTGATTATTATTTCGTGATGTCTGTGCTGCCGTAAATGTTTGTGATCGTGCAGAACTTTTTCACCAGCCATCTGGTGCCAACATTTAATTTTTAGTAATCTCGCTGCAATTCTATTTGGTATAAATTTATTAAATTTTAAACCACAAATAAAGTTGTAAGATTTGCATTTATATTAAAGATATTTTTCAAGTTAGGACTAGTTTGTAACAACTTTACGAAACTTTGAAACGATTTGTCACAAAACTGCATCGAGATTATATTTTATAGAAATATTACATTGTTCCGAAGAATTTTAATTCGACTTTATCATGATATATATAGTAACAAAAAGTTGGAATTATCATTTCTCTGGTATACAAATATAATAAAAAGTAATGTGTATACAGTATACAATAAAAAGTATATATATTATATATAATAAAAATGTATAGTAAAAGGTTTGGAATTATTGCAAGTGTTATGCTATAATTTTTGATTATTATAATTCATCTCGCTTCTCTAATATACGAATATAATATACGAATATAAAAACTTCTTTTAAAGTTGAAGAATTCACTCAACTTTGCTCATCACCGAGAAGCGCAAATTTGGCGAACGTCTATCTTTGCGAAATAAACGAGTTAGAGAAAAAACTCGCCAACGGACGAATCTCGTCGTGAGATTCTAGATTCCAATCTCCACGGCTTACCTTGTCGTGCCTCGAGGATGGCCGTGGAATAGAAGAGAGGTGGTTTACCCGAAGACCACGACAGCTGCATCGAGCCAGCGGGGCCTGAAAATAGCACGACAACCCCATGCCGAGGCCGCCAGAGAGGAGCGGCGAAGTCGAAGTCCTCTCTCCTTCTCTCTTCTCGCGCTCGCCTTCGTGCATACTCCGGCGGCCGCTAGGAAAGCCGCCGGTCTACGAGCCTTTTAAATAGCGTTCGCGTGCTTTTCCCTTTTTTCCGGCACGCGGAAAGTACTTGCTGCCCGCCGGTACGAGGAAAAGAGGGTGGCGTGCGGAAGGTCGCTGATTTATAGGAGGAACCGTGCGTATCCGGATACTTTACGGGACGACACGCGATACAGTCACGCTTTCTCGTCCTAAATGATCTCGCCGCCCCCGTGGATCACTCTTAATGACTCGGTATCCTCGACGCAAAAACTATATCCGCCCCCGTACTTATCCATCTTTCTCAGGCGAGAAATTACCTAAAATTGGAAATTCCCCTCTTACAAACTTGTCCCGATTTAGTAAACTTACACATATATCATTCAATGTAATTTATCACCATGCAGTTATTCCGAAGACCGTCAGCGAAACTCGTCGACATTCCTTGGTACAATCGAGCCTTTCCAATAAATTTCGTTTCTTCGCATCACCGAGTATTCTTTCAGTAGAACCGCACGTGACCGCGGTCGCGATTTATCCGTCAAGATCTCCTTCCTCGCATATCGTTTTCGTCGACGTCGCGTATTTCCTCCTTCTCCGCATCTGGGAGCGCTCCAAGAGCGCCGAAAATACGCGATTCGCGCTAGTGGGCGGACGGAATACCTTTGGGCACCTGTAGGATGCGCCGCCGGATAAAACGCGTAGAAAGCCACGAGGTGCCTAGCACTATTGGTGCCGGTTACGTTAATGGATGATCTGCAGTCGAATTGCGTCAGTGGTTGAGGATGCTCTTGCTCGCTCGCTCGATGCGCTCGGAACTCGTGACTTTATTTTTGGCCGTTCGACGACGATATCGTCGTCGACGATTTGCGATACTGCCGCCGAGACACCTGTTCCGCGACTCCCATCTAGAGATTTCTTGCAATCACACGTTTTATCCGAAAGCTCACAAATATTTCGCCTTCGCGTAGACAGTCGATATATATACGGAATACTTCAACTTCTCTTCTTTTCTGTCCTGAAAAATTTCAAACACTTTTTTTAGCATGAAGAAATGACGCGGGATAGAATAAATATATCGAACAGCGGTAAATAGTCGACTGTGAATCATACATTTTCACTGAATCGCGAATATTCTTGAAAAACGAGTATATAAGCTTCGTCATTTATAACTTATAAATAGATTAATAAAATTTTAAATGGAGATTTTATACGTTTCTCAAGTCTCACAAATTAGACTATATAAATGTATAAAAAAGAATTGATCTCTCTTTTGATTAATAAAAGAAATTAAAATTAAATAACGAAATAATTATCTGTCTGAATATAAATCAATAATATTTTTAAATAGTCTCTTATTTTAGAATAAAGTTTGACAAAATTTATATTATATAATTTATAATATTTCTGATTCATTCGTCGTCTAAAGTATTCAATGTTTGATACCGTTTAACAATTGCAAGTAAAAATAATAATTAACTTTTTAAAGCAAGAAGAAATCAGTATCACAAAACTGTTAATGAAAAGCAATGTCCAGGCAAATCCTCGTGTCCTCTAATTTGTATATTTCATAGATAAACTCGAATAACCCTCGGGAAGATTGGAACCTGATCTCTTTTTTTCTCTCTAATCGCCTTAGACACGCGTTTCGCGCAAAGAGCAAGATACTATGCAGGCAGCGGGGCTTTTTGGTCGACGATTGAATGAATGCCACGCGAGTTAGTCAGCATCGCGGTGCTAAATTCGGCGGACGCCTGGCGTCGCGCCAGAAGAACCACCCAGCGCACCAACCTGTGCTTCTACCCTGTAACTGTTGAAATGGCGCCGTTATCATATCTGCTCGCCTTCGTTCTTTGTTTAAATAACACTCTAGATAGATGAGCAGTGCTGGTTTCATCAAATTTGTTGAATATATGACTGAAGATTCACACACTGCAACAAATATATATATCTCAATCAAAATTAGAAATTCCATTATTATAAGAATTTACAAATTAAAAACTAAAAACGCATTTCATTAAAATGTTGTATGTAAAAAAGTAGCTTAAGATTTTAACATTTAATGCGTATAATCCTAATTTTAACATTTAATGCGTATAAATCATTGTACTTTAATTTAAAGATCTTTTAGACACATAAATAAAACAAATCCATGTGTGTACTATACTAAAATATGCTACAATTACCTATTTCTCTTATTATCTTTTTTACTTATTTCTTTTATCGATAAATTTATATAAAGAATCACCATGCAATTATAATATCGTAGTGTACCGCACAATTAATTTCGTCAATTTGCATTTGAATCAATGATTGCTCCAATTGGTAGAATCTAATAATGGGCGATAATGAGACGGGACAACTTGTCGAGAGAAGATAAGGGTAGTTAGCAACCACCCTGCGTGAGCCGTGTGGGGCCGGCTGTGTTCCTCCCGCGCGGTCTTTCATCCGCCCCCTCCTCCGCAGGTCGTACGCACTCACCACGCGTGTCGCACATTGCCGACACACCAATGGGACCACCACATGCGCAGGAGGGAACCGGGCGGGCACGCTTCTGAGGCGCGTGCAGCTGAAGAAGAAGAAGAAGAAGAAGAACAAGAAGACGACGACGACGACGAAAAGCGCCGCGGCGGCGGCGGCGACGGCGTTGGAGGTGGAGAGCGAGGGAGGTTGCGTTGCTATATGTAGCCCCGAATCTTAGCCGGGGCAACTATTGCGCCCGAAATTGCCGAAGCGAACGCAACCCCCGTGCGTCACTCGACGTACACGCTTCCAAAACGGATCGTAATCCTTCCTCTTGGTACCGTGTCCATCGGTTCTACCTCGTCTTCGCGTTGTCACCCCTTTACTATAAGTAGTAGTCGGTGCGATTGTTAGTGTGTTAGTTTGTGAATCTTGAGTTGATAAGCATGACTTGTGTGCTCTGAGGAGAAAACTCGAGGAGACGAGGAAGATGCCGCGAGCGTTCCTGATCACGCATCGCAGATACAACGGTGTGGAAGAAGAGATCGCAGGATCTGAAAGAGGTATGTTGATAAAAAATTTGCAAAGCGTTAATTTAATTAATTATGACTAATCAGACTAGAAGCTAAAAATTAAAAATTTATAAGAAAGAGTACTTTTAACTTGGTAATCAAATTCTCATTTTTTTATAGTTGAATATCGTGATTTATATTTCACCTATCAATTAATAAACTAATTTAATTTACCATAATTTGCTAAAGCTGTTGGGTAATTAAGTTTAGCATATTTGAGAATATCGAAACGTTGATAATTTGAAATTAATTTTGGCAAAAAAATTACAATTGAATTTAATTGTTTATAAATTTTAGTTGATATATAATGTTCTCGTGCATTACTTATACTGGCATTAATCTTTCACATTTTTGAATCATTTTTACATGGAATAAAAAAACATTCCAACTTTTTTGAAAAAAATTGTTATATTTATCATGTAATTCTAATATGATAATTTAACATAAAAACAATAAAATATCCACATATTATAAATGGCAAGTTTAGCTTAAAAATTCTTTTGGCATATTAATGATAATGATAATGTCGCGGATAATTTTTCTGCGTCAGTAAAGTAATGTCTGAGCCATCTATTAAAATCACGAAATTTAATTCGATGATTTTCACAGAAGAATAAAAATCGCGATGTTTTACACGCGACAATCAAAGTCGCCTCTTCCTCGATTAAATTTAAAAACCGGAAAAATCTACTGGTCGTTGCTTCGCGATCAAGGTGGTGTGTCGCGCGGATTTAAGAATAGGAGACGCTAGATGCGTCACACACGCCAGGGCCCACCGAGACGCATACCGTCGCGATGCCGTCAACCCCACCGCAGGCAGGCGAGCTTCCTTACGCGACGCAACGCGTGTGCGTACACGTACGTGGTATACTACGAAATACATAGAACAAACGCGTTGCGCGCGCTAGGGAACGACGGGCGTGCGGGGGTTGGTGGCGTAGCTACTCTATTTCCGTTCTCCCCGAAAACGGAGCAGCGTACGAAGCCCTGCTCCCGAAGGTGTTTTACGAGTCGACGCCGGATTTCCCTGGTTTCCGTTGAGATTTATTGGAGGTGTTGCATTTGAAATCACGTTCCGTGAGATATCCGCTGAAAGACGTAATCAAAATAATACACTTACTTTCGCGAAAATAGATAACATAATATATAACATCAGATATAATTGTCAAACAATTGCCGAATGAATTAAGAATTGTCAATCAAAATAGATTTTGCTATAATATTCTTAATTTGAATACCAACCCTTTTTTTCATTTTCATACAGATTTCAGTCCCGAGAGAAGCGTGAGACTGGCCGATTACAGCGGCGGTCAACCAACTTCCGATGGCGCCAGCGAGTGCGGTAGCGAGACGTCGTCCGAGTGTCCCGAGGAGCTGTACAACCTGACGAAACTGGCGGAGGTGAGCCTGGCAGCGGCGGCGGGCACCTTAATTCATCACAGCAATGTCATCTATCAGCGACCGGCGTCGCCCAGGATCGCGCAGTATCCCGCGGAGACGAGTAGAACTCTTGGGTCTCGGCCTACTGTCCAAGTGATGGGAAACCAGGACCAAGTCCTGGGCGAACGGACGAGACTCTTCTTCGAGCGGATTGAGAGCGAGAGGGAGATCCTGGAGACTCGGTCCGGAGAGAACGCCGCCTTGGAGATTCGCCTCTCGCCGCGGCATTCTCCTTGCTCCTCGCAGGAGGAATCGTGTCACTCGAAAGTATCGGTCGTTCCCGATATCGGCGTTGATCCGGCGTCCGTACCTTCGACCGCGTCGATCCAAGGTCGCAGAACGGCCGCCGTGGATCCCAAGCCGGAGGACAACGAGGATCACGAGTGTCCCGACTGCGGCAAGAAATACTCGACCTCCTCGAATCTGGCCAGACATCGTCAGACGCACAGATCGCTGGGCGATAAAAAGGCCAGGAGGTGCCCGCACTGCGACAAGGTCTACGTCAGCATGCCGGCGTTCAGCATGCACGTGAGGACCCACAATCAGGGATGCAAGTGCCACTATTGCGGCAAGTGTTTCTCCAGGCCGTGGCTGCTGCAGGGACACATACGCACGCATACAGGTATACTGCTCTTGATATCGCTGTGTTCGATGTCCAAAATCGCTTTTCCTCATAATTTATTTACCGCCTTTCTTCATAACGTTGGCCATAAACAATTATATAATTTACTGCAACTGTATATCAGGTATCTGGAAAAAAAATTAATAACTCTCGCTATAAGTTTAATTTGATAAAATCGTTCAATTCTCAGAGTTGATTTTTGTCCATGACCGATTGCCTTCTCTTACAATAATAGATATTACGTAAATAAACTAAGGAAAACTATTTTGGTGAGTACGATGAGTACGGTTTAACGAGCTTTCAATGAAGATGAATGCAAATTAATCATTCACGATGTGATTTTGGCACGCTTGAAGATACGGCACTATTTTCGACTACAAATTACAGATGTGCAACTGTGAAATCGGTTGACACGTAACAACATATTCACATCCTTCAGTGTGCTAAGAAGTACATACATTAAAAGTGATTAATTGAGATGTTCAATCGAGAAAGCGCAAATAAAATGTGAAATATATTATTTTATATTTCACACTTTCTGCCTTCAATTATATATATACATATGTATATATACAATTGTTTTTTATTACATTCATTTTTATATATTTTATATTTCCGTTGTTAAAAGAGCATTTAAATTTGTTTACTAGTATTCTCTTTTTAAAATAAACTCGTCAATTATTCAAGATTTCTCAATGCACGACATTCTTTTAAGTGATTACTTTCAATATTTATCATTTAAAAGAAAGCGTAGTTTTGGCGAGATTAAGTCATGTATAGAGAGATATTTTTAATAATTACTTTCGTTTTTTCAGGTGAGAAACCTTTCAAGTGCACCATTTGCAACAAAGCCTTTGCTGACAAGTCAAACTTACGAGCTCACATACAAACGCACTCGAACACCAAACCTCATGTGTGTGGTCGTTGTGGCAAGGCTTTCGCCCTGAAATCGTACCTCTACAAGCACGAGGAATCGTCCTGCATGCGTGCCCATCACCGACCGTCCACGGACAAGCCCGATCAGATCGAGCAGCAAAGAACATCGTCTACGGTGAAACCGAGTGCTCCATTATCGTCGTCCTTGAATAGATCGCAAACGACGTCGTGCGTCACGGCGTCGCCCACCAGCGTCATAGTTCCTCGATTGGGGCACGAGCGTGACCAAAAAGACTCGTCGTCGGCGTTCTCCGCGATCATCAGGCACACCAGGACGTCAGACGCGGCGGCACCGTCGAAACGACCCTGCAGAGAGAAGACACCTTCGGACGATCCAGAGAGCCCCGATTTGGTGACTAAGGATCCGGAATACGTGTCCAGAATGGTCATCAGAACATCGGTGATATCACCCAATCCGGAGCACCTGCATCTCCGTTTCGAAAATGACGTTAAGAGTTCCTCGACTACGTTCGATTATCCCGATCCGACGAGATCCTCGTCCTTTTCGAGACCCGCCACGATGACTTTGAACCTGGCCATCGCTTGAAAATCGGTCGATACCTAGCGATCAAATCAAGTTGGTCAATCGATAAAGAGATATCATTTAACTTCGTACTTATTTTAGCACAAATTTTTACGAGATTCACAAAACTCGATTGGAAATTTCAATTAGATGGAGATTTCAGGGTATTCTAGAACTTAAAACAACTCGTTTTTTTTTTGTAGGATATTAAAGCAAGTTTAGAAATTTCTTCAATTATTCATTAAAAAATCAATCAAAACAATCAGATTTCGTTCCTTACGAGATTATATTACTAATTGTAAGAGATTTAATTCAGAAATTGAAGAAAATTTGAATTGTTACAGCGACTGTACAGAATGTCACAAAATTGCTGACGTTCTTTTTAATCATAAGCTTTTTTGACTTTAAAACGTGGATCTTTTCTCATTGACAATTTGATTCAAATTAAAAGATTAATCTTATATGCGATTACTGATTGATGAACAATTTCGATTCGTTTTCACATTATCAAGAATTGTATGACTGTATGACGGTCAATTTTCCTTTATCGCATTAATTCGTCTTAATTCTATACAATTAAACAAAGATTACGTCTGATAATGCTGGATAACATTGCGAATTAGAAAGAATCGATAGAGTATTGTGTATGATATTATTCCAAGCATCTTCCGAATTAGGGACCATTTAGCAATTAGTCATAATAATGTTAAATTTGTAAGCGTGTTTAATTTAGCGCGAATCACATTGATGTAAAGTCGTGCCTTACATAAGTATTGGGCTGCGTTTTAGCATGCACGCGACTCGATATACTATGATATAGTCCCGACGGAATTGGCGTGCACGGATGAACGCGTGGAAAGAAATTTTCGAGAGCGTCTATTAAACGCCAAACTCGTGACCTTATCTATTTAAAGACGTAGCGTCGCTATCGCGCGGCGTTAAGCGATTGAGATTGATCATCGACACGGACTGAACTTGCAGTGCCATCGTGTTTATTATTTTAGGATTAAATGAGATTCTCTGAGGCTCTTCGAGGCAGCTACCAAGCTATGTAAGATGTAAATACGTACGAATGACAGGTGCGCGAAATGTAGCGAACCCCTTAGTTCGAGGATGTGAAGATATCTTTGTCCTACATGACCGAGCGGAAAGTTTTTACGTTTTATCGTATATATTAATACACGATCGTAAGTCGACGAAGAGAGCGATGCAGCATTCGCCGTGGTTCGTTGTTGCTTTCGAGAAAGAATTTTCAAAAACGCAACCGCACGTCGGGATGCAAGTTGGACGTTCTCAAAAGCGAAGGCGTGTATCTGTGATTCGGGATTGCGCAACCGGAATTGCCGCAAAAAGTCGGCTACAGGCAATGCGATCACCTGCCAAAAATATATAGAAATAAAAAAAATATATATATATATACATACAATATTATATATTTCATATCATAGAGATAAGTTTAGACCCAGTGGTCGTTTACTAGTGTACCCACCTGTTATGTGATGAATTTTGCTGTATTAATTCTATACAATTAGAATATCGTGTGTGTAACGTCCAACGAACGTTATCCAGCCGAGCGCATCGTTCAGAGCCGTACTGTAGGTTGCCAGCAGCGTTCTCCAGCAGCGAATTTAATCATAGCGGCGATAAATAAGCCTTCTTCTTACGTTTGTTTGCGGTGCCAGAGATTGGTGTCCGGTCAGAGTGTCGAACTAGTCGAATCCGTTTCGCCATCGTGAACGCAATCTGCCGTCATGGAAAAACTTGCTTTTAATTCATCGTCGCGACGAACGTTATCTTCGATTATTGACGATATTAAATGTCCCCTTTTTCAAGGATTGAACGGACGGCAAGATCACGCGGATTATGCGAGTGGCGACGGTTATAATAAAGATTTCGTGTAGGTGTAACAATGTTTTAGCGCGTTACAAGATTGACCGCCGCGATTCGCCGAGGAATCCGCTCGAGTCGTAATAATTGTAATTAATTGACGAGCGATTCGGACACACGTGCGTCCTAGTCATTCGATAGATCGCCCATGGACGAGAATAGGGATCTAGCGATTAAGCACGTAGTCGCGTTGACCACATGTTGTAAATAGCATTCCCACTTTTACGTATTAGATTTTAGTTGCGCGCGTGAAGGAGAGACGTTGGACGTAGTCGTTTTTTAGATAACGATTTATTACAACCGTTGTATTATACGTGCTATTTGTACACCGGAGTGCCTATGCGAAACATTTATCCACATCTTTTTTTACGAATTGTAAAAGTTTTATCTATCGAAAGAATAATACACGAAGTGATACATGTACATGTTCAGAAACACGTTTGAATTAACTTTTTGTCCTCTCCTGTCCAACTTTTCAATTCCTGTAATCCTGTAATCTCTGTTGCGCGATGAGAAATTATAAAAGTTGTATTAAATAATTTAATTCCACGCCTATCGGATTGCAACACGCGCGTTCGTATAAAGCTTTCCGTTCAATACACTCTCTCGCTTCGCCTTTTTATTTATTGAACTCATTATCGCGCCGATGAACCATGCGATCATTAGCTACGCTTGGTAGTAGGATAAACAGCGACTAACTGTGTTTAACAAATAGATTGGACTTCAGTAATTAGGCCAACGAAAGCGAAAGTGACTAACTCGATAAGACAAGTTAACTCAATGTCGCTTGCGATTGATGAATATTTACGCGGATTTAGAATAGAAACAAAAGAATTTTTGTATTTGATCAAATGTTATAAAGTAATTTTTAGCAATAACGCAATTAATAGGCTTGTTTATTTATCTGTGTTTTAGCCCTGAACATAATTTATTATAAAAAATATATATAATAAAATTAAATATATACGTATATATAATATAATAAATAAAGATTACCATGTAATGCATATAAAATTGCGATAAAAATTTTCTTAAAAGAAATTTCAAATCTGTCGAGTTATACGAGATGTTTTGGACTACTGTCTAAATAAGCAATACGATAATGATATGAAGAGTCTTCTTTCTTTTTAACTGCAACATAAGGTGTATCTTCTAAGTCAATGACGGCCATGGGCGCATATCTTTCGGTAATGAGATCCGCGACGACAAGACGAGACTAAATGAGATAACGTGATACACACGAGCGTCTGTACGCACTTACATCACGACGCACATTCCCGGAATTTCGTTCAGCACGCGATTCCTACTCCCGCCTCACAGCCACATGGACCCTTAGCGGCGCTTCGTGGGACCGACCACGACGGGACCGAAGAAGAGGCGCAGCGGAAGAAGCGAGTAGAGTCGGTGGGAATCTATTCCAGCGGAGTTGGAACATTGTCGAGACGTCGGTTCGCGGAGATCTCACAGAAGGTTCGAACCATGCGGCCGTACCTCATCGTCATCGTTCTGATCTTCCTCGCGAGTACGACGCTCGCGAGATACCATGTAAGTTTTTTAATTCCCTCGCGTTCACCACCCCGCTTTTTGTCACGCATTCAACAATCGAGATGCAAGGTCCGCAGTGCGTTTTTTATAAAAATCGAACCAAGTTTGTGAATTGACGCGCTTTTGTGTATCTGTAAATAACAACACGCCAACAGTGAATGAATTTTACAAAAAATTGTGCACTATCTAGAATAAAAATTGTTAGCGTCAATAATCGACAGCAATATTCTTTTTTTTACAATAAATAAGTGAAACACGACCGATTAATAATTTAGGGGCTTACATAAGCTCCATGCGAGCTTTAATTATTCTTATCAATGGACTCATCAGTTTTTTAATTTACATTTTATTAGCGTGTCGCTCTTTTAACGCACAAGATTTTGTGGACGATTAACAGGCACACTTCCGGAGAAAGTGCTCAAGTTTTTGTCCGACTGTAAAAAAACTGACCGCGCGGGTCGTCGTAATTTGTAGAAGGTGATGTTTAGATGTCCGCGTGTGCGTGAGTCGCTTATTCATCAATTCGGAGTAATAGATAGCCGCTTATCTCTCGCCTTCTTGCGATTTAGGACACTTCGCGTCGCCGTGGTTCGCGCGGCGTTATGAAATTCAGCAAATCGCCGACATGTATCATCTATCCGCGACGATAAATGTGGAAACGCGATCTCCCGAGTATCCCTCTACTTGCCGCTTCATTCATACGTTCCGCGATACGTCCAGAAACAAGCCGAGTCGTGTACAAACTGCAATTTCAAAATGATTACAAATTACAACTGTATTCGCGTAAGAAAACGCGCTTTTACATGAATATTCGCAATGATTTCGACCAGGCTTTGATTATATTAACTTTCCAGTAAGCAATGCCAGCGGATTGACAACAATTCGATCAGAAATTGCTAACAAATTGACATCGACTGTGTCTGCATTAAACTCGCATTTCACTGATAGAGTCCGCCTTGACATCATTTAATTTTCAGCTAGTTTTTCTTTCGTTCGTTTTCTGCCGCCAATTTGCTGTCAAAATATACCTGTATAAGTCTCCGATGAAATCTGCTCCCAATAAGCGTCAAATGTAGCAAGTACATCAGAGTCTGCTTCTTGATTTCTGCCGTCAACTTTCGTAGACAAACTTTGCTGTACTCTCTATACTATGGATCCTGCATTAAATCTGTGATCTTCCTGCCGATAAAATCTGAAGCAACAAACACTTTGCAGAATATGTTGTCGACAGACTCGGTTTCTCCGACTGGCAAAATAGCTCACGCGGTTAAATTTTGGACCATATAAATTCGTAAGAAAGTTCTGTATAATAACATTATAGAAGCTAAGTGTAACTAGCCTGCGACTAAGAGAAGACAATTGCTCGAAGAAAGATTTAGGAGGTTAAAGCTCACAAGATAAGAACGGATATGATTACGGATCGTCTCGGCTCGTTCTCGATCGCGACACTTTTTTCACCCCCTTTCGAATTAGATTAATTAGATGATTCTAGGTCCTATAGAGAGTGCAAAATTGAATTCGATTGTTTTTCGAGAATCTCGGGGAAGCGAATTCTAATTTTCACCTAATCATTTATCAGATTGTCCTGAAAAGAAAAGTAACATCAGATACAGATTTCGAGATGTTATAAAATAAGATCAATATATAATAATAGTATACATTAATTATTTATAATTTGTATCAACGATTAATGTATATATATACATATATTATTATTATTCTAACAATATTTTATTATTATTGTTCATACCATTATACATATATTAATTATTTTCTAAATGGTATAAACTATATATAATTAATACATATTATTATTCTTATTATATAATTTTCAATATTATAACGACACTTCAATATTATTATTTGTAGGAAAAGACGCGTTTCGATCGATCTGTTCACGAGTATGAGATAAGAGATGCAGAAAATAATCGTGAAGAGAAACAATGGTCTTTTACTGACGATGTAACGGTAAGCGATTGTGTTGTCTTAATATTAAAATACGCCGATTTTAAACTGATCCTTTCGAAACAGCAATTCGTTGCGTACAAGAGCAGGAAGGAGAACGATTGCTATCTTGAAAATATAAAACAGGGTCAGAATGCGTCACGTAAGAAGCGGCAATCCAAGATACTCTATGCGTCGACAGCCCTCACGAAACTGGAGGTAATATAATAAGTTACATGGCACGTTGAAATTGTTATAAATCACAATATAATAGTTCTCTACAGTTCTCTTAACAAATCTTTACATGTGCATATTTAAAAACATCAGAATTATGTTTTCTGCTATTTCCTACTAATAATTGTAAATTTATTGTCAAGTAAATTGTCAAGAACAATATGTAGCTTTAAATTAAGTGTATCATCTGAATTTAGTTCCCTTGACACACAAGTATTCTATGTAATCATATTGTCATAAACGCTTAAGAACTATACAATAAAAATAAAATATTACTCAAATAATTACGTGTAAAAATACAATAATAAAGTATGTTGTATCAGAAGAAAAATATATTAACATCTAAATTTAATATTCTGAATAGGCGTGGCGACTTGCTGGGGGTCGAATCGCTGATTTCTGCAACGGACGCAATATCCTTTTGTTACAAGCAACGAGACCTGTGCCGGGGCGTACTCTCGATCCTTTCTTCAATGAAATCCCTGTAGATGAAAATGATATTTCGTCAAAACGCGTAGCTGACATCGTTCTAACACCGCTAAGAGCCCGGACGAAACGACAGATTCAACTCGAGCAACGAGAAAAATCAAACAAAAATGTCGATCGAATTCGACAACGTCGACAAACGAATCAGTTTCGAAGGAAGTTTCGTGGACAGACGCAATCTCAATATCTGAATCTCGGTAACGATGAAAAAAAAGAGGGCAAGGCCGAAGCCGAAGCCACTCAGCAATCTTCGCGCGCAGTAGTTAGTAAGTATTGAGACTTTTGACATTTGATTATTTTGTGTGCTACTATATTAGATAATTTTTTTTTAAGATAAAAAAGAAATAAAAACTAAAAAAATGTGGTTAAAAATTACAAATAAAATTAATAAATAGAATTGAATTCTTGCAATATACTTAAATTTCTATGATTCGAGATTGAAATTGTGAGATATTATGGCTGAATATATAAATAAGACTTTTGTTAGAGAAAAATTTTTATGATAATTATGTTTCTTTAGTTACTTGTATAAGTATTAATACTTCTTTTCAGGTGGTAGTCGCGGTATGGGTCAAGCGCAAAGTATGTCATCGGGTGGCACCGGTTGCGAAGATTGTCCTGGATATCCTGGATATGTTGGATATCCTGAAGGGAAACCGGATAAGGTACAAGTTCCACCGATAGGTACTGGAACACCTGGTATTACGCAACCTGGAACAGGAATCATTCCTGGAGTCACAACTTACCCTGGCGGGCAAATAACATATCCAACTGGAGTGGTACCTGGGGAAGTTAGCACCTACCCTGGAATTCTCCCTGGAAGACCAGGGACTTATCCTGGAGGTGTTCGTCCTGGAATTGAGACACCAGGAGTTGACGGAACGTATCCTGGAGGTGTCCGTCCTGGAACTGTGGCACCAGGAGCTAACGGGAGGTATCCTGGAGGTGTACGTCCTGGAATTGTGACACCAGGAGCTGATGGAACGTATCCTGGAGGTGTCCGTCCTGGAATTGTGACACCAGGAGTTGATGGAACTTATCCTGGAGGTGTTCGTCCTGGAACTGTGATACCAGGAGTTGATGGAACGTATCCTGGAGGTATCCGTCCTGGAACTGTGACACCAGGAGCTGATGGAACGTATCCTGGAGG